TTGCCAAGAACCTGTTACTTGCAAGGAAGACCTCTTCTATCTGTGCAGCAGATTTGTAGGTGGAGGAAAGGAGTCTTGCTGAGAGAAAAGTGGAGGGAACTGTCATAATCACATATACATCATCCATAAATATCTAAGTAAGAATGGAGCAGAAAATGCATGAGGCATCCTTCTCTAATGGGAGTCAACTACACTCATAACATACTTTTTTCATAGGTCACAAGAAATGACAGCACGTAATTTCAACTAATTTGTTGTAGAAGGATTGCTCCACAGGGTTCCACAAGGGCTGGAAGCCTAACACAGACCTACCCAGAACTCATGCTATCACATGTAAGACACACCTAAGTGTTTCTAGAGCTGTTTAACAGCCGAAGGAGCAAGATACAAATCAATACAACACTTAAAGGCTACCCTCAGGAAGATCAGAGGAACAGGGCTCTGCAAGGAGGAATGCCAACAGCTACACTATAAATAGCATGTCTGGATATACCTAACCATGTTTTAACTTCATGATGCCTTAAAAGCTACAGAACATTCTTAAGCAACGCAGTCTAACATACAGAGAATACCCAGAGCACAACTATTAATAATTCATTGCCAAAACAAAGGTATATATAGAGAGGCTCCATATGATGTGTTCCTAGTTTGGTCCTATTCCATATCTCAGTCGCTGTCCTGGAGACTGGAACAAGAGAGATGCTTCTTTCATTCACAGATGACATGAAGCTGGGAAGGGCCATCAGTACGCCACATGTTGGAAATCAAAATGGCCACAGCCAACAGGGAAAAAGGTTGTGAACAAAATTAGGATGAAATTTGGCAAAGGACAACTACACAAAAACAGAGAGGAAGGCTGCTTAATAGACTGCAATCTACTGGAAAGGATCTGATGGTCAGCACAGATCAACAAATTGAACATGAATCAGCATGTTGTCAATAAAAAGGCAGATGCCACACAAGGGGTAATCGCTTTCTCAGCAACATTCAGCCTAACTCAGAACACAGTTTTGTTACAGCAGGCTTTGGGATCAGCCACCCCCAAACAGCTATCGCTCCAAATGGGTTAATTATCATTGCAGCTGGTTTCATTCAGCAGCCAGTAATGAACCATGAACATTTATCCTACTCCAATGTTTGTTTCCTTTGCATTGTTAACACTTAGAGTAATACTGAATGTAAGGTACAGTGACAGATATGCCAGTGATTTACCGGAGGAAAGAGAGTTCTGTTGCTCACTGAAGCACGGTGTTGTTCACAGGACATAATTCCTAGTTTAAGGGGAAAAAACCCACTTCCATATCTTAGGAAGAGAAATAAGCATTATGTTAATTATGAAGAATTGCAAAACTGCGCTCTGAATAAAGAAGGAATAAAATGAGTTTTGGAGTGAGACCGTAAATTCCTCCTGATATCCTAGAAGTCTTGAAAAGAAAGATCACGTATAAAAGCTACTACGCTCCCCCCAAGAGACATATTCAAGTGCATCCCAAGGAATCTGGACCTAAGGGTTACTTCAAAAAGGGGGTGCCTGAATGTGAATTATTAGGCAATCCCAGTTAGGCTCTCTCTAGCAGAGGCAGCTTGCCAGGGGAGAATTTCATAAAGCCTGAGACCTCAACTGCTACCATGGAACCATGTATTTATCTCTGAGTAAGTAGATTTATGCTTGTGTAAGTAGACTAAGTACAGATTTTCTTTCATTTTTCACCCAGGTTTAACAAAGTGTGATTATGTTATTATATTTAGAAAATACAAATAAATGCTTTTATTTCTAGCTTACGTCAATCTATCTTAACCTATGGCCCAGCTACCCAGCACAGACTCTGCAGTGTCCACAGGTAAGAAAGGTGGTTCCCCTCCCATCGCACGGGTCAGATTCTAGCACTGCAGGAATTGGACAGGACCCAAGAGTACACAGTGACTCGCAACAACTGAAGAGGCTCTCTGACGTGCAACAGGATATTAGAGTACATGCTTATCCCTTGCAACCGTTGGGGTCCAGGTCACAAACAGACCTCCTGCTGACTGCTTCCTACACAGGAGTTATCCTTGCTTACTCCCCACTCACAGGGAGCAGACCATGGACTCTAAAACCTCTGCATTATTTCAAAGGCAGGTGTGTGTGCAGAAACAAGCAAGGTAAGTATTATAATTATTATCAGAATGTGGGTATCTAAAACATTTGGAACTTGCACTATTCAAGAAATCGGACACTGTTCAGAATTCTTGAAATAATATTTGAGATCTAAATGCAAACACATTGCATTAAATAAGTTGTACTTGCTTTGGTATTTTTGCTTCTGCTGTGTTTACATTCCTGTTCAATACAAAAAACCTTCAGTCTTATTGCACAGGTTCCGGCAGTACTTCAAGCCAGCTGATAAATGAGTTAGTGGAAACAGATTGAAGTGCTAACATCCTTTTTACTGTTCTTTACTAGAAATATAAAAATGGGAAAACAATACTAAACCAATAGTTGCTTTGATTTCTGAACCTTAAAAAGAACGCTCTCTTCTTGCTCTTCTGTTGTTGCATTTGTGCAGGGACTGGACAGGGAAGATGTCAATTACTGTCAGAGGAGAATTAAAACCTCAGTTGCGCCTTCTGCACACTGCAAAATCCCAAAGATAAATAAAAAGTAACCTTCAGAAACAAGTGATTTGTAACAAGTCTATCTGGTGAAACTGAAAGAACTGAATATAATGTCACAGTAAAATTCTGCTGCTGAGAACTCCATTCAAGAAAAGCATTTGTGGATACTAGGTAAGTGACTAAGTAGATATGACTTTTATCTCAATAACATGTCAAAGTAACTGAACATGTGTTAAGGTAATTGGATCTTCTCAGTGATACAGAACCAAAACTTGAAAAGCAAAACTAAGTTACACTTCTGTAAGACTTAAGAGTGGTAAATGAAGTATCTTTAATTTTAGAGCAGGTAGTGATTCTTGCAATATCTCCCATTCTAAGAATAAGCAGTTTAAATGACAATACTTTAAGATGTATTCTGGATCACTAAACTTCTAGATCAGAGAGGCTCTCCAATGCCAACTTCTGAAGCTACTAAATTAATAAAGGTAATTTTTTTCTCTTACATGAATCACATTAATAATGTAGTATGACCTTTTCTCTAAATATTAGAATTTTGCATTCTTTCCCTATGTCAGAGTTTATTTCAGCTATTCAGTATTGGATCTGTTTGAAAAATAAAAAGGATACACTTTGCAACATTCAGGATAAACACTGTGATGAATCACACATTCTTGTAAGGTGTATATTTCTGCTACAAAAATATTTAAATTCATATGCACATGTTTGCTTGTCTGTGTGAGACAACATTTTTGTTGTACTTTTATGAGGTCTTGGGCTATAAATTAGTTATGTACTGACTGAGTCTGGACGGAATGTCTTCTAAATTTTAAATACCTCCATACCTCTTTAATCTGTCATCTAGTTTCCAAAAGTTTAAAGGAAAAACAACAAAACCAAACCACTATTTAAGTGTGACCTATACAAAACCAATGTATTCTCTTCTATTACTGCAGAAATGAAGGGAGAAAATTGTGCTAAAATCATACTCCCTCACCTGCAAACATTGGAGCCATTGCTTAATCAATATTCTCTTATTTTTTGTCTCCAACAGATAAAGGCTTTAATATGTTAGGCAGTGTATTTTTTTCATAATGTAGACTTCAAAGCTTGCTGAAATCAAATGTTTCCTTTATGAGGGCTCCAGCAATCTTCAAAACATCCAAGAAACACATTTATATGGCATTGTACTCAATGACCTTCCTCGCCTCTTCTCTTTCCCCTTCTCTCAGGGCCCCGTTTCTTTTTGAAATAATGCCACTACCAGGCTGAAAGCAAGTCAAACATGGAGAGGCTAATTAGATAACTCAATGAACTTCTGAATCGTATCTAGAAAGGACTTTCCTTTTGAGGATATGCTATATGCTGAGAGTATGCTATATTGATACAGCATTATTCATATTATTCTGCTAGGCTACATGCACAAGTATCTTTTAACAGGGACACTGTTAGATGCATTGTCTGTCTATACAGAGATGATCATTACACTAATTTATTGTGACCCACCAGACAACACCTGTAGTACTGAAGATAACTTGGCTTAAACAGACAAATTCCAGTCCTGTGAACAGTTCTTTGTCTTGCAAAACAAAGCATACTTTCAAGGCAAAAAAAGGTAAAGACTGAAGCTGTAACAGGCAGGTATTATTTGCTAAACCAGTAACTACCCACCTCTACCCTCTTGGTTTCAGCTGTACCAAAGAGGTCCAAATTCTTTACTGTGGGAGTGCAGAGAGGGTTACTCCCATAAATAACTTGACAGATGAGATCAGATTTTCACACAAAACACAGAAATTGAAGGCAAAGAGGGATATCTGGCTAAACTTATGCATCATTCAGGAATCAGCCCATGCTCCTTATCTCCCTCAATTTTTCCTCCTCCCTGAATTAGATCACTTGGAGCTATGGCTGCAGAGCAGCATGTTCTGAGACCGTATGGACAGAACTCACTGGCCCTCCATCAGGTTCCTGGGACCACCATACTTCCAGCTTCTGCCAACAGAGCTGGAAAAATGACCAGGCTCTAAAAGTGCAGTGAGTTAACACAGGGAAAAAAATGCATAAACGTAAAAATACATTACTCTATTTGTATCATATACCTAAGTTATCTACATGTGCCCCTAGAAACAACATAACTCTTCGGTCTACATTTTAATATTATGGTGCAAAAATTTAGCAACCAGATTCTCTCTGGCTGTAACAGAAACCAAATACTATTCCTCTGGCATTCTGCTTAAAATAAAAAAAAAATAAAAAAAATTAAAAAAAAAATTTAATTGTATGCAGTTTCAAAGAAATACATCTCAGAGGTTAATGGACTGTCCAAAGAACCTCAAAGAAATATTGCTGCCCTGAAATGCAAAACATATCAAAGATCAGAACCTGAAATCAGAAAAGGCTATACTTACTCCTTATTCCTGCTTTTAATGCACGGCTGGTAAAGGACTTTGACAGCATTCCAGGTCCCCACTGGTCCAGAGTTAGGCATGAAAATATCTCCAAACAGTGTAAAAACACTGTGGGAGGAGGAACTTCCTAAACACTCCATCAGCAATGTGTCAGAATTTAAAAGCCATATCTATAAATGAAGAAATAATTTATTTTACTGTAGATTACATCAGTTTCAATTTGTTCCTTTACTCTGATCCTAAATCAGCTGATACTAAAGCCACATTCTTACAAAGTTTCTAACAAAGTGTTAACAGACAGAAATTGACATTTTATTATTCAACACAGTCTGCACAGCCTCTAGTGGAGAAAAACGGGTTAATGCAATAAACCGATGCCTGATTTATCACAGTCACTCTTAAGATCATTATTTCTGTGAAGCTGCCTCTTTTTGTGGCTGCAGTACATTCCCTTTGATAGTAACAAAAGAAACAGTCCCAAGTCATCTGTTTCAGTACCAAATGGATTATTTCTCTAATTTCATAGTTTTTTAGGAATTAGTTGAGCATATGGTGTTGAACAACTGAGGGCTAAAGACAGGGAACTGAAAGACTGCCCATGGGAAGTGCCAAAAATTAAGGATTTTTAGAAACAGTGTGATAGTTATGACTAGATGGAGCTAAGACATGAAAGGAAAAAGACAATAGTTAATGTGGTCTAAAAGGAAGGCTGGGATTTATAAACAGCTGTAACAGAACCTTACTTGGAAAATAAATCTTTATCGAATTTGATAATGGGACTGGCGTTCTTCAGAACTACTTGCTCACAGCAATTCATGGAATATTTACCAGGGAGAGTTTTAAGAAATCTGAACTTTTTGAATTACATTATGGATCTTATTTAATCTCCGTGTGATTGTGCATCAGTGTTCCAACTCGGATCCAGGGCTTTCCAGCTAAGCACTGTACAAAAAAGCCAGGCTTTGTCTTTATTCAGAGCCTGCAATAGTGAAGTGATCCAAGTTACCAATGGAAATCAATTTTTACAAGACCTGAGCCTGTATGAAATGTTGATATATGACATATTTATCATAGAAAAACAGGATTTATGTAGTGCTGCTCACTAGAGAGTAATCTTCTGCTTCTCATGACCTAATCAGCTTCAAGTAAAACAAGTTACATGATGTTAGGTAGCAGACATATGATATCCCCTGTGGAGAGAGAAAGCCACCGTTAACAGGACACATACTATATGCCATAATTGAATATGACAGTCACAATTTATCAGAGCCCAAGGCTCAGAACATTACAATGGAAGCTTCATAAAGGAAGAATGAGATATATTGATAAAGATGTCTTGGGAGGGGATGGGAGGAGGAGAATCACTTTAGCATATGCACATAAATGATGACAAGCAACAGCACTTGGCTTAGCAAGTGGCTGTTCATCAGTTTTGCTCTGGCAACTCACGGTACACATTCATAGCCTAAACTGCAAAATATACTTCATTAGCTAGGACCATTACACACAGAGCTTTAAGCCAAGTGTGGAAGAGGTGTTGGAGAAAATGGGGGAAAAAGAAAAGTGTCCTATACACACAGGCCACTGCCAACACGCCTAGCCTTAACTAAACAGAGTTCCTTCCTTTTGAAATTATTAACACTTGCCTGTGAAGGAGCCTCCTGTGATGCTTTTCAGAAGGGGAATATCCTTCAAACTAGTCTAGGGAATGGTGCAGCAATAGCTGTCTGCTCCTTTCAGAACCCTTCTGCAAGTTGCTTTAGAGAAAGCAACCAAACCATTTCATTTGCAACATGGTCCATCTGAAAAGTACCTCCTTCTACCACCATTGTTGATATGTGGCATCTGACAATAAAGTTCTACCACTTGTTCAGAGTATGTCTTTGTCTCAACAGCAGTGCAACAGATCTGTATTAATAATTTAGCACACAATACAGAAAAAGCAAATGAATCTTTATGGGCGGAAGGACATTTGCCCATGAGAAAATCAACTTCTGAACTACATTTGCTTCTTTAGGCAGTAAGTTCCTTCTTTTCCTCATGCATGAATTATTTTTTGATCCTGCTTTTGGTCTTAATGAATACTCACTCACCAAGACTTGGTGTATTGACTCAAAGCAGTTTATACATGCTATTTCCAGCTAACATAGCTTCAAATTTTGATCTGTGCTTTCAACTATGTTACTCACAATGTACAATCTTTCCTTCCTCTCTACCACTTTGTACTGCAAAGCCTGCACAACCGAATCCCTTTCATATTAACTCCAGTAAGAAAAGAACCTTTACAGAAAGATAAATATATAAAGTTTAGAATCCATTCATAGTGCAGATTGATGACCTTTTCTGAAATGACAGCATCAGGAGAAAGTGGTTTTTTGTTGGTGGTTTTTTTTGGTTTGTTTCATTTTGTTTTTTAAATCACCTTGTCAATAGGCTTCAAAGGTTTTCTTAGGAGAAAAGCTGCAACAAATCTCAGTTATACTTCACGGGACTTGATCCAAACAGCTGAAATACTACAATTTACATTCTGTGATCAGTTTCCTAAAATCTCAACCTGTGTCTTCAACATCAATTTGTGGACAATTAGGCATCAATTCAAATTGAACATGGCTAAAAAAAGCTGTTGTTCTTCCTTGCCAGTTCATTCTTAGTTACTGCAGACATTACCATTACTTTTGTCATCACATAGGTCAGTAATGCAAACATCTTTCATTACAGCTTCTTTGTCCTCACATTCAGACTGTTCAGATAAAGATGTGGTTTCCTCACACTTCACAAAGAATAAAGCTCTCTAAGAGAGCTGGGTAGTTAAGTCTCAACAAGGTACTCGTTATCTCACATCTTGATCACTGCAACGTTCCCCTCTCCAACCTTGACAAATGCAAACTTGTTCTGCTCATGGCCTCCAAGACATGGTCCAAGAATCAGTATCTGATTGACAGGTCTCTCCCATTTTGTTACATATTATTTTCTTGGGATATTTTCCCACTCCCTCTCCACTCACTCCTGAAACACAAGCTGCCTTACTTTCAAAGCACTTTACAGCTAATCCCACTCCAAAAAGCCAATCCCACTCATTCAGTACTGAAAGACTGGAGTTAGTATTCAAACACTCCAAACTCTACCACACACCCTTTGATTATCACAGTTGCATCTTTTGGGGTTTTATCAGGTTGATTCCATCCATGGGATGAATTCCCTCTATCTATCCACAAAGCTACTTATTCACCTCTTTCAAACCTATCCTTTTTTATAGTACACAAAAAAATGACATCTATTAAGATGCTGCTATGCTGACCAATGATGTACCATTGTCGTGGTTTAACCCCAGCCAGCAACTAAGCACCACGCAGCTGCTCACTCACTCCCCCCCCATCCAGTGGGATGGGGGAGAAAATCAGGAAAAGAAGTAAAACTCCTGGGTTGAGATAAGAACGGTTTAATAGAACAGAAAAGAAGAAACTAATAATGATAATGATAACACTAATAAAATGACAACAGTAGTAACAAAAGGATTGGAATGTACAAATGATGCGCAGGGCAATTGCTCACCACCCGCCGACTGACACCCAGCCAGTCCCCGAGCAGTGATTCCCTGTCCCCCCCTTCCCAGTTCCTAAACTAGATGGGACGTCACATGGTATGGAATAGACTGTTGGCCAGTTTGGGTCAGGTGCCCTGGCTGGGCCTGAGAAGCTGAAAAATCCTTGACTCTAGTCTAAACACTACTGAGCAACAACTGAAAACATCAGTGTTATCAATATTCTTCACATACTGAACTCAAAACACAGCACTGTACCAGCTACTACGAAGACAGTTAACTATATCCCAGCTGAAACCAGGACAACCATTTTGCTTGTGTTCTCCTGTCTCACTATCCATTTGCTGTCCTCATCTTATTCTTAGCTTGTAAATCATGAAACTTCAAGGTAGGGAACCCTTCAACAGTGGAGCAAAAAGCAGAGGCAAGTGATTCATCTTTTAGAGAATGTGAAGAGGGCAGAGATACAGTTAGGACAAATAAGGAAATCTGTATATGTCACTTTTTTTTTTCCTGAGACAAAGAGACTTTTATTTATTGTTATCCTTTAAAAAACCCAAACATAAGTAGTATATAGCTTTCAGGAACTTGGTTATCACCAACTGAAACAAGAGAAACTCATACTATGATATCCACAAATAACATAACTGGTAATGTTAAGTGATACATGCAGAGAAGATAAGGAAAATGAGTATACGTGGTATTTGTGGTTTAAAAAAAAAATTAAAAAGACTTGTGTGAGACCTTAATTATCACATACATAGCCTAAGCTGTGTGCATTCACGTACGTAAGCACAAATACTGTGAATAAGAATCTTTGGCTCATTGTCAAAACAAACAAGTGGGACAGCTGGTCCATGATGCATCAGTTATGAGACCACTTGTCTAACTTGGCTGTGTACTCACAGCCTCAGGCACCTACATTTTTTTACCGTTTAGCTGTTTGCAATCATTAATATAAACAGTGCTTACATTACACTTGTGTCCACAATGCCTCTGAGTCCTAAGACTTAACCCATGACTCCAGAACACCTGCTGGTGTCTATACAGTACCTAGAACCTCACCCTGGACATGAGTAAGGGCTTTCTGATGTTAAACACACACACAAAAAAATACTAATAACTCACTAATAAAAAGGAAGGGATGCCAGCACCTATGCTAATTCAGCCTGCTCCTCTAATTGATACATTGGCAAAAACACAACTCAGAGCTAAGAGTGATGGCAATCTGCTAAATGAGGTGATTCTTCTGTTAGAAAATAACCAGTTCGTTCTATATAAGCTACTAGACTTAAGCATCAGAATATTAGGTAACTTGGAAACACATAAGCTACAAGGAAAAAAAATCACAACCATTTTTAATGACTCAATTAGATTATACATAGTGACAATTATGGGTCTGCTCATGAGACCTTATTTTATGATCACAAAAGTATTTCTCAGTGGTTGCATAATGTTACCTTGGCACTAAAATTTATTTAAAAGCAACAGATATACACTTACCTTAGAATCTGGATGTTCGGAAATTACAGAACTTGGACAATGTACATATAAAACATTTAACTAGATTGCCTACATCAACAAAGTGCATCTATAAGTTTATCCAGGGCAGGAATCTACAGTCATGTATTTCTTTATCTTTCTGTCTATGAATTACTCATACAAAACTGCAAAATTACAAATTCTGTGCCTCTATTTAGTTCATGAATAAAAGAAAACATCCCTGGTTATACCAAGTGTCTAGTATTAAGATAATTCCAGACCCAAACTCCTATCCATCTTAAAAGTTTGAGGAATTTAGCTGTCACTACTTAAAAATCAAGCTTAACCAAGTTTAACAGCATTAGAACATTAAGTATAATAGGCAATTTTATTTTTGTTTGCACTTCACTTTGCAATGCAATGTACTGACTACATTAGTAGTCTCTGCTGACTTAAGACAGTATTTGTGAAAGATGCTATACAATTTTATGAACTTCTGGTGATTAAAGATAAGAAGCATTGGAGCAAGATGAGATATATTACAAAGTCAAAACTTAAGCTTTCCATATTTTCTGAATACAAACCAGTGTTATTTCTGTGCTGCTTGTGGTGCATATGTAGTACTTACATTACTATATTAATAGAGAAAATTTCTATATGTACACCTACTTAGATTAAAAAAATGGGGAAATTTCTTACTTGAACAGAACTCTTCAGAACTACTTCAAGAATTTGGACTTGTTCATTTTCTTTAAACATACAATCATGAACAGCATAAATAATACATTTTAGGAGCTGGAATTCATAGGTTAAACTTTCTCAGCAAGATAAAGATTAAAAAAAAAACCTTACCAGAATATAGATTTTTCCATTATCCCCTTTTACGGTGAATCTAAAGGTGGTTTTAGCAGAGGACAATTCCACAAGACACTGAGCAACCATGCTCTGTAGAAACTGAGACCTGTTGAAGAATTAACCACGTTATGTTTTTGTAACAACTACATGGGCTAAGTCATTCATATTGATGCAGTATATGAGTATCTCCATACTGTCAATTCCACTACACCTTACAATCACTTTTCATTGAGAGATGGGGCTTCTTTATCTTTCTCTCCCTCTCAGAGGACTTTCTATTTCCTGCAACAGGAATTTTTTAATAGATCAGCAGTCTAAATTGCTTCACATCTTTTATTTTGACCAACACCAAATGTCAAATGTTGAATAAAAGCTTTTCCCTATACATATATGAACACAAAGTTCAGAAAGATGCACATATTTCAAATACAATTCACAAAAACAAAGAACTGTGACTAATGCATAGTACATGATACAAGATCGCTAGATCAAGTTCTGTTTCATCTTAGTCTTAACTTTGAACTGAATTACTTGAAAATTCAAAAATCTCACTTCCAAATAAACATTTCAAGTGTTACTTAATTTAACTTTACATAACGTAACCTTCCATTTCCATAATTAGTCACCAGACATCATGCAAACATAGTTCAAAATAACTAAGTATTGTATTTTGGCTTATCACCTGAATAGTGAGACACTGCGACAAATTATACACAATCTCTCTCCTGTGTCACACACAAACACACACAAAGACAAGCGAACAAAATTGTACAAGTGAATTCAGATTACATTAACTTTACAATGCTTAATTCTGTGATGATTACATAAAATTTGATAATGCTTTGTTATTATATGTAATTATTCAAGAAACTAAAATATTAGTGCATTTCTAGCATCCTTTGTAAAACATAAACCTGAGCAAATTATCTGATTTTTTTTTTAATTTTTATTTGTTACCTTGGTGTTGGGCTGAAACTTCCCTCAGATGGTCGAATAATCACTTCGGTGACATAATATTTAATGGTATCTAAAATGGACAAAAACATTTTTCAAGTACAACAGAACAACCGACTTGTTAAGAGTAGACTGTGAGTCACCATATCACTATACTCATTAAACTTTTGTTCAGCACTCAATTAAGAGGTGCAGCAGATGGTCAAATTCTGCTTTGGGTTGTGGGAGGAAAAGCAACCAATAACAGAAAACATACACTAGCGGAAGAAAACTGCTCTGAGCTAATTACATGATCAGCAATTTGTCATTCACATTGATCCTTGTTTAACGCTGGGAACAATCAACTTGAAACAAAGCAAGCAAGAGCTCAAGCCAAACCTGAAAGATGAATTGAAAGAACTTTCCTAAAGCACTGAGATCAGCATAGCTTACATAAGTATTTTAGTACCCTCTGCTGCTCAGTAATGCTGCAGTGAATCACAAGAGACAGTTTTAATAACAGCACACACAGGGGAATAATTTTCTTCTTTGCTCAAAGAGCAGAATAGAACTTCTTTCCAAACATCGCACTAACTCAACACTAATACTGCATACATTCCGAGTTTCAATGTAACTGTTCCCCAAAACTATTCCACTAAGACAGCCTTTAACACTAAATGGAAGTGTTTGAGTACAGAATTTAATCCCCATCAATAAAGTCAGGTCAAAGATGATCATATTGAAACTCTGGGTGTATGCTACAAACACAGCCTAACCAGAGGGCCAGCAAAACAGGTTAAGTGTATAGAGTAATAAATTAATTGCACTAAGCCTTAGCATGTGAACAACAGTAAAGATTCATCAGTTCCATAAATTTTAAGGGTGGAAGGGATTGTCTCATCTGATCTCGGTCCACACACACCATTAAAACTGGATGAAAGCAAGCATTTCAGGAAGACAATCTGTTTTAAAGATTCCAAAGGCTTGGTAATCCCACCCCTTCTCCAGATAAGTACTACACTTTTAAAATTATCCTCACTGTTAGGAAATTATATTTTACCTCTAAGTTTAAATTTAGTCTGCTCCATGCTGTGCCTAGTCCTCAGAAACAGGAGGAAAAGAAGCCAGTTCAGTCATTCCAGCTCCCCAGCTGTTATCCTGAGTAAGGAATTGGTGCTACTGCTGCAAGGGCACTGGGAATTAAGATGTTTACTTGCACAAAGACAGAAGGTGGGATTTCCCAAGAAAAAAATCATATGAGTATATGGGGATAGAGTTGGGGGAAGGAATAGCTGACAGGGGAATTTCAAAGCCAAATCTGGCCTCCACAGCTACACTACTCTAATCCAGCCTTATCTTCAAGGCACTGCTATCTGCTCATGAGGAAGCAGCAAAGCATGACAGTCAAGTCTGTCTGCTCTCTAGTCTCTTTCACAGAGATGGCTCTGTCGAGACTTACACCATACATCTCTGGCTAGTTTTTTTGACTGTTCTTTGAACGCTACATAAATTTCCTACAGTACTGAAGAAACATGGTCAAAACAATGGACATGCTATCTAACTTCAGCCACATACAGAGCCCAGACCAAATCCCTGCACATCTACACAGTATTTGCCTTTTCCCAAACCAAGTGATCACATCAATTACTGGTTGCTACAACCATCTGAAGGCTTAGATTAAGGAATCCATTATTCATTATGATCTGTGAAGCTCTTTTCCAACCACTGCTTTCCTGAAGTCACAACCTGCTTTGTGGGCTTTCAAACACCTTAACTTAAATTTGGTTTTATTAAAGGCTGTACTGTTCAGATCCCTGTACAGGACGATCAGAACCTTCTGTAACAGAAGACCTTCTGTCTTGTGTCTCCTCATGACTTATTTCTTACCCAGGCTTTGCATTTTCTGAGAAGTTTTTATATTCTCCAGATCTCTGAACTAAGCCAGGCTCACACTGACTGATGCAGTGGAGTAGAGGGAGAATGAAAGAATGAACCCTGCTAGTAACAGTCTTATTCCTTCTCTCCAGTTAATAACTGCATTTTAAAAACCACCAGAGACTCATCTTTACACCACTTCAGGTAAACCCTGCTGATTCAATATAATGACAGCTTTTAAACCAATAATCTCATCATCTCATCATTGGATGATGATGAGAGATAACCGGTTTCTTTGACAAGGCTTCCTTTCCATGAAACCAGGCTGGCTGTTAGCAATCATGTCTTTAGCTTCTAGTTCTGTGTTGATCAAGTTCTGAATTAACCTTTCCGTTATTCTGTAGGACTGCCGGCAAAATAAACAACCTGTAATTTCTCAGGTCTCCTTTTTTACTGGGATTCCTAGTAAACTGGAATCATGCACTGAATCTTCCAAAGCTTTGGAATTAGCCAAATATGCCACAGAAACAAGGATGGAGAAAATCTTTTTCCTAAGTCACTTTCAAGGTCTAACAGTGGAAGCAATAACCTCATCTGTTCCAGAAGGCAATGAGACAAACACACAGGAATCAGCCCTGCACCTTAGTGATAAAGTGCTTTCCTCCAGTGTTTTTAACCTCCAGTGCTCAATGGCTGATGCAGTGAAGTCTAGTTTGGTTTGTACATCCCATACCTGATGATACTGTTTCTCCCAGCATTGTCTTGCAGCGCTTACAAATTACTCTGGTGTTTTCCTTTGATTTCTGTAGGACAAAGAAATGTCATTTAAATGTCACTCAGTTATTCTGAAAAAGGAATGTATAATTTTAACATACTCTCCAGAGTAGATAGTGAACTTTGTACTTGTTTCTGTTCTCTTTACATTTACATACATACAGATTCACATTCACTATTTCAGCTTTCTACACTTCCACTTGCTTGCAAATTTCATACTAGTTTTAGAATCTGGCAATATATACTGACCACACAGCACAACCTGTAATAGCTAACAGGAGATTCTCGTAATATTGAGTGACTGGATGATAAAATGACAAGGTAAATTCGATTTTGATAAGGGCAAAATAATGCACATGAAAAGAAGTATTCCAAAATATATACATAAAATATTATGCTGCAGTGTGACTACCATCACTCAGTAAAATGTTCTAGCTGCTGTGGACAGTTTTATAGGAATACCAGTTCAATGTTCAGCAGAGACCAGAAAATGTCCACAGAGTATTTTGAATTACTAGGAAACAGCTGAAGAACACAACATAGCACAACATTCCAGAAAGGTGCGGTGGATTCTGTTCTTGAACAACCCCTCTCCCTCAATTCAAGCCAAAATGGAAAAGGTACTGACAAAGAATAATTGTGAGAGGTGCAGAACAGTTTCCATATGTGGCAAGAAAACACATGTAATGGAAGAGAGCATGAAAAGACAGAAAATGGGTATCACTGAGATCTAGAAAATCACAAATGCTTAGGAAAAGCTGAAGAGGAAAAAAACATTTACTCTCATAGCTCATGCTATGAAAATATAACCTGGTTTGTATCAAAGAAAAGGAAGGTATTTGTCACACAATGCATAATATAGTTTGGTACTTAGTATAGGAAAGTATTTTTCATATTAAAAGTATACCTAAGTTCAAAAAGTCTTCAGAAATTCAGGGGAAGCAATGTTCATCAAGGGCATATTAAAAACAAAAAATGTGGACAACATCATCTAGTTCAAGAAGTCTCTACACTGGCCAAAACATCACTCAATACTTGCCTTACTCTTATGCATCCATTACTGCCCATTGAAAAAGATCTCATTTCTGGATGAACCTATGATCTGCCCTAGTAACACTCCTGCTAATTCCAGTGTTAATATTTAAATTCAGTATCAGTATAAAGATACAAGTAAGCACAACTCCTACTTTATTCCAAAGTCTAAACTCCGTAACTGGTTCTGTGTGGGCTTATTAACCTGGGTGTAGCACAGCATAGCTCTGGTCTGGAAGCAGTATGTATATAGAACCACAATGACACTCCCGAGTTAATAAACCCTTCTGGAGCTGGAAATCCTAAGAACATAATGAGAAGACACCTAAATTGGATTTTTACAAGTGGTCTTTGTATAATCACCTTTATAATTATTCACACAGTATACTGTGCATAAAAATACCCACGTGTAATTAAACAGCTATGGTTTTATTGGCTTGGTTTGTAAGTCCAAACAAGTGACTATTAACTTGAGAAATCATATTGCAGCACATGCCTACAAAAATAATATCTAAATTTAGCATAAATTAAACTAGTTGAGGGGAAAAAACTCCAAATTTATCGTTTTCCGTAACCTTTGTAACAGATGGCAACAATTTCCATGGATTCCAACTAGAGTGAACACACATGCACTCTTCAGGGAGCCTATTTTTTCTTCACCACCACTATCATACTCCTTAGTGTACAAATTTTAAAATGTATGATGATGATGTGTTGGACTGATGTCCAGAACAAAAAGTGGTGCTCTGTAGCCTATCACATCACAAAATTATTAGAAAAAAAACCAAACAAAAAAACCATCAGCATGAAGTAAATCCAATGGCCCTAGCTATGTCAGGTACACTTTTCATCTTACACAGATAAGTTCTGATGTATGTCCATTACAGTTGTCTTCAGATGCAGATTTCCAAGCACAATTATCCTAATCAAAAATTGAATAATGCTTTGTTAATTGATTTATTCTAATTCAGGTACCTTGAAGGACATGTGGTTAGACCGGTGATGAAAGAGATTATAGACAAGTCAAACAGACACGCTGGGCCAATTTCTTCAGTTACTCTGTGGAAAAGTGTACTTCCTGCTTCAATGATAGAGAAAGGGTAAAAAAGGGAGACAGAGGAGTTGTACACAGTAGTCTGGATCATTAAGTAGGTTGTGCTTGGCCTAACAATCTGCACTAAAATATAGCCAAATGCCAGGTCATATATTCAGGAACAACAAAGCTAGTGAAGATAAAATAAAGGAATACATAGTGGAAGACAGAAAAAAATCAAAAGAATTTAGATGATGGTAGCTAACCAAACCAGAGTTACTAATGAGATGCCGCAAAAGAAAGGGCAAATATGATCTCTGAATGCATGAACAACTGAACAGTTGATACAGATAAACAGAAAAATATAACATCTTCAGAATTATAGTGAGATGATTACTGCAAAAATGGATCTATAAAGTATGTTAAAAATTTGGAAAATGGTTTGGAAAACTGCTACAAAAATAATTTCTAAAAAATAAATACACCTTAGAGATAAAAAGAGATACAGAGTTGCAATTCTTAGTATGCTTAATTTAATAAGAAGCCAGCAAAGAGTCAGGATGATTAACCACTGAAACAGCTTACCAAGCAATGTGATAAAGCTTCCATCATTTGAAGTATTAAATCAATACTGGATGTCTTTCTCAAAGCTATACCTCAGACAGAACTGATGGATTTGATGCTGGAAATACCTAATAGAGCTCTCTGATCTGTACCACACAAATAATAAAATGAACAGAAAGGACCACTCTAGCTCCACAAAAAACAGGAAGTGTCCCACGTGGCACCTGAACTTATGATCACAAAGTCCTGCTTGTTCCTCACAAACCAGGAGTTTGTGTCCCCGGGAGAGCCTGACAGCCTCTGTTAAAGCTTCAGAGAGCTGACTATGTTGGAAGTACAGCCCCCTTGTTATGGAGCTCAGAAAAAACATCTGGTTCATATATACGCAGTTATCCCCTTTCCCAATTCCTACCTTGCTACTCCTCTCAAACATACACAGTAAAATTACTTGCTTAACATGAAGAGCAAGGATAAGTAGACAGGGTTTTGTGAAAACCAGCATTTGAGGTTGGTACAAGTATTGCACAGTACAAATATATAATATACAGTCCTTCCTTGAAAGCTACAACTTGAATGTTTTTTTCTGACTACAGTTACAGGTGCTAGCTGAGAACTGTGCAGTACAGGACCTAAAAAACACCAGTAACTCGTTGTATCATGCTTCAACAGAAAAAGTGATAGTTTTAGCTAGACTAATTAAATCAATATATCTATTTGACAACTTGCAGCTGCTGGCAATCTGCAAATGGATGTGGATCACCAGCCTAGTATTTTCTGTTTCTGTTCCTAAGGATCCCTGATATGGTGTCAGGGAAAATATTTTCCCCAAGAGATACTATTAGGATGCTGCAAGACCATGTGACATTTAAAAACTATGTTACACTGGAAGACTAATAGATGTGCAAAATACGTTTGCAACGGACGGATGCTGTCGTGGTCCCACTGGAGGCTAGGAAAGATTGTTTAAGCATCTCTGGTACATTCCTACTACTATTTTCGTCAGAGGAAAACACTTTCCAAAGAACTACAATGCAATTAAAAAAGAACTTTCATACTGGGGCAGACTGCAACAACATTCTCTGAAACGAGAACATTTATGCCAATAGCAATCTATCTTGCCTGTAACCTTCTATTACTCATGGAAGAATTTCTGTTTCAGTATGAGGGTTTTTTTCCTTATTAGTCCAGTTTCTGATGGATCTTACAGTTTTGCTCATTTGCTTGGCAACCGAGTGATGCTGGAAATAAGCAAACACAGAAATGAGACTTCATTGCAAGTGTGAAAGACGTAGAAAGAGGGATTTGACACAAACAAGGAAAGAATTCTCAACTTCAGTGCAAGTTTAAGGAAGCAAACATGAAAATTCATCATACTAAACTACTATTGTATGCCTCTGACAGAAAACAGCCTCCTCCCTCATTCAAAAGTTCTGCTGTTATCCTGGTTTGACCCACATCTCAGTAACATCTTTGTCCCACATCCTTTTATTGTGTTTCTGCCTCAAAACCAACCCTTTTCTGGCAAACATTCTCTTTGATTGAAGAAGTGTGTTGGGCACACTGCTCCCCTGTCTTTGGGCTGCAATGTGAACTCCATGCACCCTGCATCTTCCCGTCTTTGTTCTCATTGTTCTCTTTTGAGACTACTGAAATGCGAGATAATTCATTTCGGGGACTTCTGACAGAAAGCATTGTCCTCTTGGAAATCTGGAATCTTCTGCTCAGCTTCCTTCTTAAGGATACTTAGAAGAAATAACTCCAATTGCCACAGAGTTAATCCAAATTAATCTGCTTCTCCCATGCTGATATCCTTTCAGGGTACCACTTCTAATTTTCCCCTCCCCATATTCTGCTTTTCAAAGAACAATGGAACAAGTAACCAAAGGGACCACAGCTGCAAGACTTGCAGATATCGACCGTAGGACAGAACTGTTCCCCAAGCAGATGGCTTACTTGGATGTACTGCACCAGCCACCATTTAACTGCGAGAATCTCAGTGATTTAACTGGGGATAATACAAATCCCTAATGATGATAAGCAGCAGCAGACAGGAATCAGGATCTCTGGAGTTACTTCTCAACAGATTAGAAGTTTCATGTTGGGAATCTGTAGGTAGCAGGTCATCAGCTGTTAAAGACACAAGTTGCCAAGGCAGCAATGGTTCCCATAATTGTAGAAGGATTTCAGTAATTAGGTTTAATGCATGGTATTGGAAGAAAAGATGGTATCTGCAGGCCAAACCTTTGTCAGCACAAAAACAGGCAAGCAGTAGACTAACAGAAAAGGCTTTATGGAAATGTAGGCTTTGGTGAACTAAGTTCCTGGTTGTTCTTCTCGTAGAATAAAAGATTATTGCTTGAACTTTTATGTATGTGCTAGATTTCCAAGATGAATAAAGCACTGAATCTTCTTTCTTCATGGGTTTTACCTGACCATTGAAATATCAGTGTCCCTACAAATGTTTTTTTCATGGCAACAACAAATTTGGATGTTTCTAAGCCAAATGATAGCCTTCTTCCTAGAGACCCAGCTGATGGATATATCCCCTCCTGGAAGACCTCAGAAACATCAACGTGAAGAGTTATCACTTGCGGTGGCAAGTCCCTTTCACTAGACAGAGCAGTCAAACAAACTCAATGTCCTTACTATATTCTAAGAGTGTAAGACAGCCACATCTGAACCCAAAACACATGCCAATTTTTCCAAGTCTTTCTACAGCTAAAAGAAAAAGAAAAAAAAAATAAAAATCACACCTTCCTTTGATCAAATTCATCGTTATGCATCTGGTCACAGTTTGAGAAGAAAAAGCATTGTTATTCGTTTCCTCCTCACTCTTCGCTCCACTACCCTTTGACAAACACCTAACCCATTACAGTCATTATCTTACTGAATATTGATGTCCTTCACTCAGGATATTTTGGGGAGGAAATATTTTGGTTTAGAACACATAATTAAATAGTTTCTAATTCAATTTATAGGAAGAAGTTCTTCTTGCATATCTAGGTCAATATCAAAGACATGGTGCATGCTTTAGAAAATGTAAATCATAGCTTAGAGTATTTTCTGGCTTCTGTGCAACTGAATATCAACAACTCCCTATGACCTTCAAAACAGCTCTGTAATACATACAAGTTAAATAAACCAGTGACAAAAAAGTGTTTTACAACAAAAAAAGTCCAAATACATTCACTTAAGAATTATTCAAACAAAATACTTTACCAAGTTGGAGCCATTCTGAGAAGTATGGTGACCAGTCTCTGAGCAGCACATGGGAGATTCAAGCACATGTGATTCATTTCCTGAATTCAACAGAAAAAAAGTGTCTCCAAGAAAACAGTCACAATGTTGAGGGTGCAAAGTGCTTCTGGCAAAGGGGTTAGGGTGACAACACCACTCTTCAACTAAAGCACTCCAGTTTTCACTTGGTAGAGGAAGAACTCTGAGAAATTTCCTAAGAGGGTAGAAGAAAAAAATATTTCAATATATTATATTCTTTTCTAAGACACTGAAAGAGAGCTTATACTCCTTACAAAGAGGGGGGAAGTATGGCATTTTCTCAAAAGTAAGTGCTTGACTTTCTCAAAGAAAGGCACTTTCTTTGGATGAATTCTGAGAAAGCAATAGCTGAGTGTTTCCTGCCAAGTTTGTGATGAAGCATTTCCCAAGGGTGAATCTCCAATGATTACAAGGCAGAACTTGGCATAATCCTCTCTTGCAATGAATCACATGGCAAAAATAAAACAGTTCTATCCAGTCATGAAAAACGTAACAATGGGCATTTTGCAATTATATTTATTATTACTTCTTGTAAAGTTCCCTTGAACCAAATGTTGATATAAAACCCACAGAAACAGACTGCTGCCACAACAAGGGAGAGCATGTCCTTTGAGCCCCTCAAAGTCAGATACAAGGCTTTGAAAAAGCTAAATCCTGACAAAAATACCACAGTATTTCTTCATGTAAAAAAAAAAAAGGATAATGCAATCTTAATTTAGGTTCAGATTTAACTTTCAGAAGTCACATACAAAAAAACCCGCAAATCCCTTTCTCCTGGGCAGCTGTATGGACCAAGGAGGCTGCTCTAGGCAATACCAGACTCTGCTTTCATTGTCAGTGTTGGTTTTAACTTCCTTTCTTTGGTTACACACAGTGCCAGAGGATTTTATAAGCCAAGGTTTGGATTCACTGCTTTAAGTTGTAAGATATACTCTTAAAGCTAGAATATATACATGTAGCTGTAGAAATACCAGCTTGGTCATTGTGGGTGAGTGGTCAATACTTTCCTGCCTACAGTTCCTATAGCCATTCTGTGGTGCCACCACATGTGGTTTTATCAAAAATGTAGAAGTATTGGTGGATACTGTCCACATATTTACACTTTCTTTAATCTGTGTTTTCTAGAAAACTATTGCACTGGCAAGAAATTCAGCCCCTTTACCAAAACAGCAGGCAATGGCTTTAACAGTGTGTACCTCTGCAAGAGTTTTCTAGATGTACTGTTTGTCACAGAGCCACGCTTTCTGCTCTTTGCCTAGTTCCCTTGAATGCTTTCCTTTCATTCCCTTATTTCTTCTGCTGTTGCCTGAAACCTTTACATAGAGTTTCTTGATTCTACTCCTTACTTGCAAATACAACTTTGATTACGGTGCTACTTTGCAAATAAACACACAGCTGCTAAGCCAACAGTTAGACACCCTGCCTTTCTAGCAATTCACAGACTATTCTTTTCTGAAGATGCCAGTTCTTCCCATTGTAGTTTCTTGTGCCTTTTGAACTGTTGGGTGGGTGAAAGTAAAATCTTTTATAAAAACTTCCTTCTGTCTAGATCGACAATACATTTTAAACTGTGCTTGCCCCACCTGCAGATGAAAGTTGGAATAACTCGTCCTCTGACCCAGCTTTACCATAACTAAGAATACCGCTCCCCACTACCCATCACTATCTTCACTCTCTGTGGTCTTAAATATTGCCCAAGATACAACCACAGTTCTGCCATGGGGGGACTTTAATTCTGGTGTTGGCCTAATGACTGATTATTCATCAGCCTTGTACAATTAGTTCCAATGCCTGGACTCACACTGAAAAAAAGAAGTCTTCATTCCAATGTATTGCTCTTTACAGCAACAAAAAGCTGGTATTGCTCAGCAATGCTTTTTCAAGTGTTACATACAGGTGGAAAAAAAGACAGAGATTACCCTAAACTGCAGATTAATGCTGTCCAGTTTCACTACATTACCCTTTCTTTACACTCACAGTCTGGAGCAAAAGCAGTTGCTCAACCTGTAGGAATTTCCTAAACAGACTCCTTCTAACTTTGAGCTATACAGAAAATATAGCATTTCCACTATATTTTAGGCTTTTGCCATTCATAGGTGGTAAGCCATATTCTCGATCACTAGAACTGGAAAAATGTAACACTAATAAAAATGTAGCTTTCCAGAAAAACAAACAAACAAAAAAGAAACTTAAAGGGGTACTGACTAACTTGAGGCTGCTAAATACAGTGATAAAACCTAGCTAACAGGGGGACTTATCTCCCCAAACTTACTCCTAATAACAACTGAGTTTCTACTTTTCAGATAGACACCTAGGCTGCCTTCACAGTCACAGAGCGACAAACGACTTTTAGGCTGGGACCTTTAAGAGAAACTTTCTCCTTCTGGAGATAGTTCTCTGTCTCCAAACAGAGGAAGCCTACGTAATTAACTTAATTTTAAAAAGACAGAAGTTAGGCACTAGTCTAAAAGAGTCCTGCCATAAGGATGTAATTCTTAGGTGAGCTTCCATGCTAAGGTATTTGACCATAGAGATCCTTATAAGACTGGACTAAGAAAAATAATCTCCAACATCATTATTAACTAATATCCAAGAACAAGGTAATATCATCCTAGGTATTAAAAGTTCTGAAAATTAGAAGTAAAATGGACGTTAGACTTTTAAACATATAACCCTTCTGTTCCATCAGAGAAAAAGAGAAGGAAAAAAGATCCAACTGAATTTCTTTAACAGCAGACTTCCTTATTTACTTACTAAAAAAATTTTGGACAGCCCAGCTTGACAGTTATTTGTCATGCTTAAAGCTATTTATGTAGGAAATGTGTAATTAGAAGATTTCCCCTGCCATTGGTTTTTCAACAGAATACTTTCGCAGTACAAGTTCTTAATGTTTGGACTAAGGAAAAGGTTTATTGCTTAATAGTCAATTTATGAAATTTATTTTTCACGACATTCAGCCTTGTATTGGGTTTGCATGGCAAGGTTTTGGTAGCGGGGGCAGGGGGGGGGCTACAGGGGTGGCTTCTGTGAGAAGCTGCTAGAACCTTCCCCCACGTCCGACAGAGCCAATGCCAGCCGGTTCCAAGACAGACCCATCGCTGGCCAAGGCCGAGCCCATCAGTGACGGTGGTAGTGCCTCTAGGAGAACAGATTTAAGAAGGGGAGAAAGTTGCTGTTGAACAGAAACTGCAGCCAGAGAAAGGAGTGAGAAGATGTGAGAGAACCAGCCCTGCAGACCCCCAGGTCAGTGCAGAAGGAGGGCAGGAGGTGCTCCAGGCGCCGGAGCAGAGATTCCCCTGCAGCCCGTGGTGATGAAGACCATGGTGAGGCAGGCTGTCCCCCTGCTGCAGCCCAGGGAGGTCCACGGGGGAGTAGATCTCCACCTGCAGCCTGGGGAGAGAGGACCCCATGCCGGAGCAGGGGGATGCCCAAAGGAGGCTGTGACCCCGTGGGAAGCCCGCGCTGGAGCTGGCTCCTGGCAGGACCTGTGGCCCCGTGGAGAGAGGAGCCCACGCTGGAGCAGGTTTTCTGGCAGGACTTGTGACCCCGCGGGGGACCTACGCTGGAGCAGTCTGTGCCTGAAGGACTGCAGCCCAGGGAAGGGACCCACGCTGGAGAAGTTCGTGGAGGACTGTCTCCCTCCATGGGGGGAGGGACCCCACGCTAGAGCAGGGGAAGAGTGAGGAGTCCTCCCCTTGAGGAGGAAGAAGTGGTAGGGACAAGGTGTGATGAACTGACTGCAACCCCCATTCCCTGTCCCCCTGCGCCACTGGGGGGGAGGAGGTAGCGAAATTTGGGAGTAAACTTAAGCCCAGGAAGAAGGGAGGAGTGGGGCGAAGGTGTTTTAAGATTTGGGTTTATTTCTTGTTACCCTACTCTGATTTGATTGGTAATAAATTCAACCATTTCCCCAAGTCAGGTCTGTTTTGCCCGTGACGGTAATTGGTTGCGTGATCTCTCCCTGCCCTTATCTCAACCCACAAGCCTTTTGTTATATTTTCTCTCCCCTCACCAGCTGAGGAGGGGGAGTGATAAAGTGGCTTGGGTGGGCACCAGGTGTCCAGCCAGGGTCAACCCACTACAAACCTTTAAGAGCTTCTTCATGACAGGAATAAAGCCTGAAAGAATTATTTTATATATAAGCTACACTTAGCCTAACTGGAAGGAGAGAAAAAAAAAAAAGAAAGTATCCCAAATTCTTTGCAGCTTTTAAATCATGGAAGAGAAAAAAAAAAAAATCTAATCACTTCCTCTAATGCGGGTAATGTGAGGGTAATGGAGAAGAATCAGAGAGTATAACCCTAACCTCTGAAGAGCTACCAGAGTCATGGAAGGAAACAGATTAAGACAGGGCATTTCAGAAAACGTAGAGTCCATTTTCTTGCATGAAGGAAGGATCACTGACATTTAAACCATTCCTAACATACTTCTCTGATCTAGTCTTTAAAATGATGGCTTCCTGTGCAGTCTCTAACAGTAAAAAATAAGCTTTAGAATGGTTTGGATTTGTTTTTTTCATTTTAACCTAAATTCCTCTTGCTTCAGCTGAAGACTACTGCCACCTTCTTTGCAGCAACTTCTCACATATTAGAAAAGTCTTATGTCTTCCCCACAGCCTTATCTAAACTAAATCCCTTTTATTTCAATTTCTTCTCAAAGCTATCATTTTCTAGATCTCAGTTTTTTCTTATTACAGACCCTTTCCTAGTAATTCACCCTTTAATAATTTCCCTCTCCACAGTTCTGCAAGTTCCCTTCAACCCCACTGCCTGTGCTGCCACTGTCATACAGACTCTCCCTGGAGAAATCAACACACAAATTCTGTAGCTAAAAGTACTGACTACACTACTGTCTTCCTTTTGGAAGTGCTGGAACAGAAGGTGTGGATAAACTGGCAGTTCCACTCTACTACCCTTGTCTTAATCAATGTTTTTTTAGTGATAACATTCAAGGGGCTCAGAGGTTCCCTGCAAGAAGAAATGCCAAGCAAAGAGCCATGAACACGCCTTCTTTTTCTTTTCTCAAAAATTCTGACTGCGTCACATTATAGGATGCAGAACCAAAAGATGTAAACCCTATGCACATGAATTTGATGTGCTGAAATTCAGGAAAGCACCCTCTCAGAGACGAAAATATAAAAAAGTGCAATATCTTTTGAAAGCAGATGTTACTGACTAGAAATTAGAAGTTTCACAACTCTACAAATGTATCAAAATAACAGCTATTACTAGACTTTCTGATGAGACGTTTCAGAAGAGAAAGCCAGGAAATCCTCATTCAGCTACATTCAAGCCAGCAGTAAATCCATACGTATGACAAGAAAGTAACCGGAGTTTACAGAATATACCACATTTGTATCACCATTTTGAGTATTAGGAGTGACGCAGATCGTAAAATGCTGCATGTGCATCTCTAACAATTCTTATATCTCCAGCTGAACCTGTCAAAGTTGTTCATCAGAAGAGCCAGAAAATGCAGCAGCTTTTTATTAAAATTCTTATTCACTCTGCAGACTTTGTAAGGAACAGAGATAAGGCCAAGTCACACAGCTAAGAAACAGCTCCTCTGTTTCCCAAATTCAGCATCCCTGAACTATGTGGAGGTTGGCTTTGCTTAATAGATAGAAGGGAGCTGTGGTCAACATCGCCATTCTGAGCAGCCACTCTGCAACTACAGCACGATGACTGAAGGGAATTTAAAGAGACTGAGCAGAACTGAAGAGGATCCCTGAAGTGCAGAGGAAGAAAGAAGCGTAAGCTCAAATTTTCAGTTTTATTCCCTTCAACACAGCAAAGATGTCAGCTACTAATAGACTGAGTATTTTTTAAATCAGTGAAAACTATGAACATTTGCAATATTTCCAGGCCAAAATGTTACAGCTTTTTGTTTGTACAGCAAATCCAGAAGCTATTATGATGAGTGCAAAGAGATTCTGTATGAACAAAAAGCACAGATCTCAAAGCAGAAATTTTACACATAGGGAAGTCCAGCTACAAAAGAAAATGTCTCACTCAAAGCATAGCAGACAGGCAGGAAAAGAATCGAGATTTCCCAGTTTCCCAGGCAATGCACCAAACTCCCTTTGTAAGGTACTTCTACTTTACAGCCAGAATGAAATCAAGAAGTAAATGAATAAACAGTGAAAAACTGTTTCAGGTAATTTTGCTTTTAGTCATCTGCAGTGCTTCAAAAGTGTTCTCATCTATCAATTTCAAAATAAATACCTTTTAGCTGTCTCTCTAAGTACACAAAATAACATGAATAAGAATCACTATGGCATTTATTGATATAAACACAAGACACTGCAGTACTCACCGGTCTTTTACTATGATGTCACCACAGGATTGACAGTAAAACACGTAATTCTTCTGGGGTTTCAGGCTTTCCCTCAAAGTAAAAACCAAGTCTATAGATAGAAGACAACATATTGATCTTCAGAACTGTGTAACACTTTCAGTCACGTGTACAGAAATATCCTGCCAAACACCTCAAACCAAAAAAAGGTAAGAATCTAACAAACTAGTTTTAAATTTTCAGGCAGGTAAGATACCAGGCACTGTGGTTCCATTTGAGGAATAGATAGTGAGCAATACCCTCTGCAGGCCGGCAAAGCAAAAATGGTCTCACAAAAGCCAGCTCAGACAACTTTTCCAAATTAAAAAAGGAGCTATAAAAGCCTCCAGGTATTATCAAATAACATTAGGTAGAAGAAAAGTAAAACTGTAAGCCTAGCTCTATGTATGAATATGTTCTGCATTGCCCACTTTCTCAAACTTAAGAATCAAAGTATATTCTCAGCATCGGCATTCAGTATTTAAGATTTAGGTTGCGACCACAAATGAAAAGTACTTTAAAAGGTTCCAGAATTTCATATAAGAGACAACTAGTTTTGCATACTAACATAAAACATTTAAGGCTAACTAAAGTTAATATATACGTCAATTACCATCTGGTTCACATACTCATTTTTCAAAGGTACGACTTTCAAAGGTAAATTTTAAAACTTCACCTTTGATCTTTTGAAGCGTGCCTCATTAATAAGACACACTAAATAATTTTTGTATAATTGAATTGTCAGAGCACATGCATAATTACGGATTAACGTACAGAAGCAACCTCAGTGTACCATAAAATCCACAGAGTATTCCAGTGTGTTTCTGGTGCTGAGACCATTATTGTACATCACATAGTTTATCGGTCATTTCTACTTTAAAACCACACAATGACAATTTTGTGTTATTTAATATATTTTTCTGTGTCACATCCTATTAAATGAGTCTAAACATATTGAGCTTGGGTGCTAGAATGAAAGAAGGCACCAGCTATACCACCATGCTTCCTATTTATGCAGTCACATCCTAGACCTGAATTAGCATCACGGAAATAAAGCAGATAACTTTGCAGATGTTACCCGCAACATTAACCTCTGCAAACTGAGGCTGTGAGAACAAGCCCCAACACAGAATCACAATCCTTTTAAGTGGTCGGTGACAGCCTTAGCGCGACAGCCCGGCACGAAACAGGAGGGAAAGCAAACAGTTCTGAAGTAACACGGGAAAGCACGGGGTAGGAACCGAGAGCAGTTCTCAAACTCCTGCACTGGCTCAGCAACCGCGTTTCCCTTTCATTACCCCACTTTTCGCACTTTAAAGCTGACAATTTCATTAAATGCTATCATTTCCTGTTCAAATCTTCGATTCAGAGCTAAAGTGAGCCCGTTAGCGACAGCACACGCACAACGCAAACCACGAAAACTCCAGTTACTTTGGAGTTTTCTTCGTGCGTGTGCTGCCGAATCGACACTTTAAATCCTCTGTCTGCACGCCAGTTAAACCAGTAAGGTCTGAGGCCACCCTAAGCGAAGCTCCCTTTATTTTTTTTAAGTAACGGGCCAACCTGCCCCCCTCCCGCCCAGCGCTGAGGCGGCGCCGGCCCCGCCCCACCCTTACCGGCGCTCGGCGGCGGGCGGCGCAGGCGCATGCGCAGGTGCAGGCCGTCGCCGGGGAGGCGGCGCAGGCCGCGGCAGGAGGACGGGGCCAGGCTGACCCCTGCCGGCAGGGCCGCCGCTCGGCAGCTGCCGCCGCCTCTCGTTTCCACACGGTCGGCGGCCACCCACACGTCCAGCGGCGAGCTCGGCGGGTCCGCCTCGCTGGGGAGGCAAAGGGAGAACAGGTTTACCTCAGAACGGAGGTGTTGCGACCAGCTGGCTGAAAACGGGCGGGAAGGGGCTCGGCGCCGAGGCACCGGAGCCCGGCTGGCGGCTCGGGCAACGCAAAAGCCCGGCCTCGGGGGGTGGGGAGACGCTCCCCCGCGGCCCGAGTCGCGCCCCGGGACCCACGCGGTTAAACCGGGGTCCCCCGCGGGGGTGAGGAGCGATCGAGAGAAATAAACCACCGTTCTCAGGAAGCATTTATTTGCACGGTAACTCAGGCTTGTCCGACTCGCCCAAGAAGGGAAGGGGGGGGGGGATCGCTGGGACACAAACCCGTCCTGTCCCCCCCTCGCCGTTTAAGGCTAAGGACGCGGAAAGCCAGACCCGCCGCCCCAGCGCCGCGCCCTGCGCCTCCCGAGCGGCGGAAGGCAGGCAGCGCCCCCGCAC